TCAGGAGATAAGGAGAGGGCTCAGTAGAAATGCTGGTCTAGTGAAATGAAAAGTGTGGAGGGGAAACACTTACGACCTTGTGTGCCCTTTACAAGTAACATCTGTTTCTCCTTCCTTTCTTTTTTTGAGAGAGTTTCGCTGTTGTTGCCCAGGCTGGAGTGCAATGGTGCAATCTTGGCCTCCTCCTCCTGGGTTCACAATATTCTCCTGCCTCAGCCTCCCAAGTAGCTGGGATTACTGGCACATACTACCATGCCCAACTATTTTTTTTTCTTTTTTTTTTTTTGAGGTAGAGTCTCATTCTGTCACCAGGCTGGAGTGCAGTGGTGTCACCTCAGCTCGCTGTAACCTCCACCTCCTGGGTTCAGGCGATTCCCCTGCTTCAGCCTCCCAAGTAGCTGGGACTACAGGCACATGTCACCACACCCAGCTAATTTTCACATTTTTAGTAGAGACAGGGTTTCACCATGTTGGTCAGGATGGTCTTGATCTCTTGACCTCGTGATCCACCCACCTTGGCCTCCCAAAGTGCTGGGATTACAGGCATGAGCCACCACACCTGGCCAATTTTTGTATTTTTAGTAGAGATGGGGTTTCACCCTGTTGCCGAGGCTGGTCTCAAACTTCTGAGCTCAGGCCCACCTCAGCCTCTTAAAGTGCTAGGATTATAGGTGTGAGCTACCATGCCTGGTCTGCTTCTCCTTAAAGCTTATGTTTTTGGGCTTCTGCCTGGAGAACACCGGGGCATATTCTGACTGGCACTGTGGACAGGTGTGGCTTGTGGTTTCTGCAGTGTTTGGCAACAAGCCTGGGATGGATCCATTTGTGTCTGGCCGCAGCTGAAGTCCTTGGAAGGCAGGACGGCAGTTTGTACCCATGGTTATAAATGCTTGTCCTGCCTCTCTTTTGTTGTGAAAAGCAAATAAAAATAAACATGAGGCCGGGCGCGGTGGCTCAAGCCTGTAATCCCAGCACTTCGGGAGGCCGAGGCGGGTGGATCACGAGGTCAAGAGATCGAGACCATCCTGGTCAACATGGTGAAACCCCGTCTCTACTAAAAATACAAAAAACATTAGCTGGGCATGATGGCGCGTGCCTGTAATCCCAGCTACTCAGGAGGCTGAGGCAGGAGAATTGCCTGAGCCCAGGAGGCGGAGGTTGCGGTGAGCCGAGATCACGCCATTGCACTCCAGCCTGGGTAACATGAATGAAACTCCATCTCAAAAAAAAAAAAAAAAAAAAAAAAAAAATAAGCATGAAAGGCTGGGTGTGGTAGTAGTAGGTCACGCCTGTAATCCCAGCACTTTGGGAGTCTAAGGCAAGTGGATCACAAGGTCAGGAGATCGAGACCATCCTGGTAAGATGGTAAAACGCCATCTCTACTAAATACAAAAAATTAACCGGGCATGGTGGCACGCACCTGTAATCAAGGCTACTTGGGAAGCTGAGGCAGGGGAATTGCTTAAACCCAGATGGCAGAGGTTGCAGAAAGCTGAGATAGCACCACTGCACTCCAGCTTGGTGACAGAGCAAGAGTCTGTCTCAAAAAAAAGAAAGCATAAGAAAAGAAGCATGAAAAAGTACTTCACAAATTCTTAAGGGCCATATGGGCCGGGTGTGGTGACTCACGCCTGTAATCCCAGCACCCTGGGAGGCTGAGGGGGGCAGATCACAAGGTCAGCAGTTCAAAATCATCCTGGCCAATGTGGCTAAACCCCATCTCTACTAAAAATACAAAAATTAGCCAGGTGTGGTGGCGGGCACCTGTAATCCCAGCTACTCAGGAGGCTGAAGCAGGAGAATCGCTTGGACCCGGGAGGCAGAGGTTGCAGTGAGCTGAGATTACGCCACTACACTCCAGCCTGGTGACAGAGCGAGACTCCATCTCAAGAAAAAGAAGAAAAAAAAGAAAAGCAGGCCAGGTGTAGCCCAAAACTTAGGGGAAATAGGGGTTGGGGGAATGTTGCTGGTTCAGAATGACTTTCAAGAATAGAAGCTGAGAACAAGAGCCAAAGGACTTTCATATACTACCTCAAGGTGAGTTAGAAACTAGAGGGGAGCTCCTTTTTTTTTTTTGTGCCTGTAATCCCAGTGCTTTGGGAGGCTGAGGCTTGTGGAGGGGAGACCCCATAAGTACCAGGGCAGGAGTCAAAAGAAAAGAAAAGAAAAGCCCAAAAGTTGGTCGGGCTGGTCGTGAAACTCCTGACCTCAGGTAATCTGCCTGCCTCGGCCTACCAAAGTGCTGGGATTACAGGTGTGAGCCACTGCGCCTGACCAAGGTTATTACTATTAAGTCCTCATTTATTTATTTAGAGATATGGTCTTCATTTGTCACCCAGGCTGAAGTACAGTGGCATAATCATGGCCCACTGTAGCCTCAACCTCCCAGGCTCAAGCGATCCTCCCACCTCAGTCTCTCAAAGTGCTAGGATTACAGTTTTGAGCCACCATGCCCAGCCTATGTCCCTATTCTAGAGAAAAGGAAATAAAGGAACAGAGAGGTGAAGTAAGTTGCCCAACGACACACAGCTGGTAGGTGGCACAACTGGGATTCAAACCCAGGCAGTCAACTCCAGAGCTATACTCTTTTTTTTTTTCTTTTTTGAGACGGAGTTTCACTCATGTTACCCAGGCTGGAGTGCAATGGCGCGATCTCGGCTCACCGCAACCTCCGCCTCCTGGGTTCGGGCAATTCTCCTGCCTCAGCCTCCTGAGTAGCTGGGATTACAGGCACGCACCACCATGCCCAGCTAATTTTTTTTTATATTTTTAGTAGAGACGGGGTTTCACCATGTTGACCAGGATGGTCTCGATCTCTTGACCTCGTGATCCACCCGCCTTTGCCTCCCAAAGTGCTGGGATTACAGGCTTGAGCCACCGCGCCCGGCCGGGAGTTTCACTCTTGTTACCCAGGCTGGAGTGCAATGGCGCGATCTCGGCTCACCGCAACCTCTGCCTCCTGGGTTCAGGCAATTCTCCTGCCTCAGCCTCCTGAAAAAAATTTTTTTTTTGTAGAGATGAGGTCTTGCTATGTTGCCAAGGCTGGTCTTGAACTCCTGGGCCCAAATGATCCTCCAGCCTTGGCCTCCCAAGGTGCAGAGATTACAGGCATGAGCCACCACGCCTAGCACAGAATCCATACTCTTTTTTTTTTTTGAGATGCAGTCTTACTCTGTCTCCCAGGGTGGAGTGCAGTGGTGCAATCTTTGCTTACAGCAACATCCGCCTCCTGGGTCCAGGCGATTCTCCTCCTTCAGCCTCCCAAGTAGCTGGTATCATAGGCGCCCACCATGATGCCCAGCTAATTTTCTTTATTTTTAGTAGAAACGGGATTTTACCATGTTGGCTAGGCTACTCTCAAACCCCTGACCTCAGGTGATCTGCCTGCCTCAGCCTCACAAAATGCCAGAATTACATGTATAAGCCACCGTGCCTGCCTGCAGAACCCATATTTTTAATCACTATGCTGGTCATTTAAGTATTTGCTGAATGTATTAAAGAAACTCTTTTGCTCACCTCCCAACACCCTTGTTCATCTGTCCTCTCCATTCCGTAGCCCAAACTCTCTTCAATTATTACTTATAATCTACAATAGCTTGGTCACTGTTCTTCAAAGAACTGGTGGTGGTTTTCAGTCTTGTTTGAGTCTCAATACCCGTGGAGAGACTGGCAAAAGCTATGGTTATCTACCCAAATTAACATCCACATACACAAAAATTTGGTGTACAACGCTGGGAGCAGGGGGAAAGGGAAGTAGCACTGATTCTCAGGCTTTGGGCAGGGGTGAAGACTGATGAGTACATATTGTTTTAAACCCAACTAAGAATCCTCAGGTTCTCTTCCTATTGTTTGAGGTGGTGCTGATGGTGACAGTGTAAAAATTGAAACTTCTTATTTATTTATTTTATAATAAGACGTGGTTTCACCATGTTCGTCAGGCTGGTCTTGAACTCCCGACCTCAGGTGATCCACCCGCCTTGGCCTCCAAAGTGCTTGGAGCCACCGCGCCCGGCCTTTTTTTTTTTTTTTTTAATTGAAATTTCTTTGCAAGACTAACCAGGTCAGGTTTTCCTTCCTAGCTTCATCTCATCACATACTCTTATATTTAGGGCTTAAGCAAAGAAGGCAAACACTTTCATATCTTAGACATTTGCTTCTGAAGTTCTGGCTACTCGGAATACTCCCCTCCTACCTGACGCACTTTTCGTCAAAGTTCAATTTGAATCTTACCTCTCAGAAGCCCTGACATTCCAAACTTCCTCTCTCCCGTTTTAGAAAGGGAATGATACCTTCGCCTTGTATGGCTTTCTTGGATAGCATTTAACATTGTCAGTTGCTAAGGAGCCTCTCTCGAGTCATTGTTTGCTCCTCCAGAGCAGAGATGGTGTATCATGCATCATTGTATCCCGGATATTCTAGAACATGCATGTCACACATTAGGTGCTCACAAATTTCACTAAGTTTTTTGGCAGCAATGCTCTCATTCTGAACCACCAAGTTCACTGCAGGTTTGGAGACGACTAACATGCTTAAGGAGAGAGTTGAGTCTTGTTAGAGAAGGTTGGTGGGGAATCAGCGTAAGAGAAAGTGAGACTGCGGCTGGAGTTTGGGGATGATGGCGAAGATTTACCAGAAGCGCGCGGAGACAGCAGGAATAAAACTCAACGCAATTCACTCTAAGTCAGGGTCAGCAGGAGGGAACCAAACACTGCATGCTGGGAGCGGCGCTAAGGAGCGCCGCGTTGCATGCCGGGACTTGTAGTCTCGCCGCCCCTCCCACCATTCCCCCCCCACCCCCCGCCAGTACCCTCGGACCAATTACGTTCGGCTACATTCAACCAAGTCCTTACACAGATAACGTGCACTCATTGGTCGTCTACTACGAAACAACGAGGTTCTGCAGGGCAATTCTACCTAACAACACTGTTCAGAGGAAACCCGGTTTCGGCGATGGCTACCCGGAAGACGCATTATGTGCGTCTGCGCGTGCGCAACGCTAACGCCTCTACGCGCGCCCGCTGTTCCTGAGAGGCCCCCTAGAGCCGGGCGGCGCAGGAGCAGTGTCCCTGGGCCAAGATGGCGGCGCGGTGCTCCACACGCTGGTTGCTGGTGGCTCGGGGGACACCCCGGCTGCCGGCTGCAGCGGGGAGAGGGGCCCGGCCGCCCAGGGAGGGCGTGATGGGGGCATCGCTGAGCCGCAAGCTGAGCATCCCCGCCTTCCCGTCTACCCTGATCGCTTGTGGCCCCCGAGCGCTGCTGACATTGAGACCTGGTGTCAGCCTCACAGGTGAGGGCAGGTTCCAGCGCCCGAGTGGCGGTTTCAGGGCCTACAAAGGAGTGAGTCTCCTCGCTGCGACTACCTCTGCGGGGGTAGCGGGGTGGAGGGTGTCTTCCGACCCGGATGCGGAATTGCCGGAGAGTCAGGCAGGCAGGAGGCGGAGAGGCCCTAGAGGCTACTCAGCCGTCAAGGGAAGGAGAGAAGCGTGGAGCCCACGGCGGCAGTGATGAAACACCCCGTAGACCGTGAACCTTCACCTCTCTGTCAACATTTCTGGAGGCCGCTGCTCTCCCTTTCCCGTCTCTCTACCTTCTAGCCGGTAGCGGAGGGCAAGAGGTAACTGCCATTCGGAAAGGACTAGGGACTTTCTTACAACAACTCTGCAAGATGCCTGTCTTCATCCCCATTTTAAAGAATGGGAAACTGAGGATTCACCAGAGGAATCGACCAGCCCAAGCCCAAGGTCATTAGGTTAGACTAGGAGTTGTCTCAAACCCAGAGCTGTCATGTCATAACTTACGCCCTTTCTACCACATGGTGCCAATTGAAAGGCACAGTTAATATTTTTTAGAAGTCCTTAAGCTGGTAATTGTAATAATAACACAGACATTTATTGAGCACTTACTGTTGGTCAGGCATGGTTTTCCCCTTAGATCACATTTCCACGTGATAGGCACTGTTATTCCATTTGATAAAGATACTGAGGCTTAGATGTTAAACCACTTATAAATGTCACAAAGAAGTGGAACCTTGATTTGAAACTTGCCGCCTTCCTTGCCTGACGTGATACCAAATTATACATTCCCTGAAGTGCTTATTGGTGTTTTCCTTTCTTTTTCTCTTTTTTTGAGGTGGAGTCTTGCTCTGTCGCCCAGGCTGCAGTGTGGTGGCTCGATTTCTGCTAACTGCAACCTCCACCTCCTAGGTTGAAGTGATTCTCCTCCCTCAGCCTCCCCAATAGCTGGCATTACAGGTGTTCGCCACCATGCCCTGCCAATTTTTGTATCTCTAATAGAGATGGGGTTTCGGCATGTTGACCAGGCTGGTCTCAACCTCCTAACCTCAGGTGATCCACCCACCTCGGCCTCCCAAAGTGCTGGCATTTATGGGCATGAGCCACCACGCCCAGCAGCCATGTTTTCTTATACTGTGTGTTTTGTGCTGTATGTTGTATGTGCCTGAATTGTGCTAGTCGTTTTGTGTTCTCTAGAATTTGTCCAAATGATATTTAAGTTATTGATACATTTATAAAGATTAAAGGGCCCTGACTGGATAATTAATACCAGGTAATTTCCTATTGCAATCCAGTTTTGTAATACTTACATAGTGGGCAACAAAGTATCAGTAATTGTGGTTACTTCATGCAATGTAAAGAAAAGAGCCTGGGCTTCAGGGGTGAACTTCCGCAGTGTGTGAGACCCGGGTGTATTATTTAATTGCTTTGAGCCTCTCTGAAAATTCATTCATTCACAGGAATTAATTGAGGCCTATTTTATGCCACCCACCATTGTGGGCACTGAGAAGACAGCAGAGAACAAAGAGATTGGATGTGTGTTTGATCAAGAGAATGATTATGGCTGGTCGTGCTGGCTCAGGCCTGTAATCCCAGCACTTTGGGAGGCTGAGACGGGCGGATCACAAGGTCAAGAGATGGAGACCATCCCGGCCAACATGGTGAAACTCCGTCTCTACTAAAAATACAAAAAATTTGCCGGGAATGGTGGTGTGTGCCTGTAGTCCCAGCTACTTGGGAGGCTGAGGCAGGAGAATTGCTTGAAACCAGAAAACGGAAGTTTCAGTGAGCTGGGATCACGCCACTGCACTCCACTCTGGCGATAGAGTGAGACTGTCTCAAAAGAAAAAAAAAAAGATAATGATTATTTATTTATTTTTTAAGACAGGATCTCCTCCTGTTGCCCAGACTAGAGTGCAGTGGCACAATGACTACTCACTGCAGCCTTGACTTCCCAGGCTTCGTCGATCCTCCATTCTCTGCCTCCTGAGTAGCTGGGACTACAGGCATGTACCACCACACCCGGCTAGTTTTTCGTGTTTTTTGTAGTTGAGGTTTTGCCATGTTACCCAGGCTGAGCTCAAGTGATTCACTTGCCTCAGCTTCCCCAAGTGCTGGGATTGCAGGTGTCAGCCACTGCACCTGGCCAAGAGAATAATTTTTTGTTTTTTGGGACGGACTCTTTCTCTGTCACCCAGGCTGAAGTGCAGTGGTGTAATCCTGGCTCACTGCAACCTCTGCCTACTGGGTTCAAGCGATTCTCCTGCTTCAGCCTCCCAAGTAGCTGGGATTACTGGTGTGTGCCACCATACCAGACAAACTTTTTATTTCTTTCTTTTTCTTTTTTTGACATGGAGTCTTGCTCTGTTGTCCAGGCTAGAGTGCAGTAGCGTGATCTCAGCTCACTGCAACCTCTACATCCAAACAATTCTACCTGAGCCTCCTGAGTAGTTGGGATTACATGCGCCAATGACCACACCCAGCTGATTTTTGTATTTTTAGTAGAGACAGGGTTTTACCATGTTGGCCCGGCTGGTCTGGAACTCCTTATCTCAGATGATCCGCCCACCTCTGCCTCTCAAAGACCTGGGATTATAGCCGTGAGCCACCGTGCCCGGCCAACTTTTATATTTTTAGTAGAGACAGGGTTTCACCATGTTGGCCAGGCTGGTCTTGAACTCCTGGCTTCAAGTGATCTGCCCACCTGGGCCTTCCAAATGCTGGGATTACACAGCGCCTGGCCCGAGAATAAATTTTTAAATTCTGTTCCTGCCTCTATGTACCTCACAGAAGGAGCAGCCGTCTGTTCAGTATTCTTTCTGCGTTTCATTTCGATTATTTGCAGAGATGTCATGATGGATTTTTTTGTTTGTTTTATTTTTTTCTTAAATGCATACATATATATATATTTTATTTTGTAGAGCCATGGTCTTATTGTGTTGCCCAGGCTGGTTTCAAACTCCTGGCTTCAAACAACCCTTACATCTTGGATTCCCAGAGTGCTGGGATTATAGGTGTGAGCCACTGCAGCAGGCTAGATTTTTCAACATGATCAAACGTGGCCATTTGGTTTGTTTTGCTTTTTTGAGACAGAGTCTTGCTGTGTCATCAGGCTGAAGTGCAATGGTGCAATCTCAGCTCACTGTAACCTCTGCCTCGTGGGTTGAAGCCATTCCCCTGCCTCAGCCTCCCAAGTAGCTGGGACTACAGGCGCACACCACCACGCCTGTCCAATTTTTTTGTATTTTAGTAGAGATGAGGTTTCACCATGTTGGCCAGAATGGTCTCAATCTCCTAACCTTGTGATCTGCCTGCTTGACCTCCCAAAGAGCCGGGATTACAGGTGTGAGCCACTGCCCCTGACCAAAGGTTGTTATAAATAGAATCTGGCTGCATTTTTTTGTTCAAGTATTAATTCCTTAGGTGACCTATTTTATTAAGCCAAATTTGTTCATGTTCTAGCTGTACAAATTTGGGAACATTTTTTTATTATTGTGTACGTGAAAGAGAGACAGGCACTAAATACAAAGCTTTGTGTGAGGCTGATACTAAGGAACTGTGGTTAGCTGTCTTGTTCCCCAAGTGAGCTCATAGCCTGCCATGGGCAATTTTTTTTGTTGTTTTATTTTTTATTTATTTATTTTTTTTGAGACGAAGTCTCACTCTTTGCCCAGGCTGGAGTGCAGTGCCTCTGTCTTGGCTCACTGCAACCTCCGCCTCCTGGATTCAAGCAGTTTTCTGCCTCAGCTTGCTGAGTAGCTGAGATTACAGGCGGCTGCCACCACATGCCACAGGCAAGTTTTGTTTCAGGTTGTGTACACAGGTGAGAGGTGACATCTTTCAGGGTGCATTCTGTTTTCACATGTAGAGTCATCAAGTGATCAGGCTGGGTGGCTTATGCCTGTAATCCCAGCACTTTGCTGGTGCTAAGGCAGAAGGATCACATGAGCCCAGGAGGTTGAGACCAGCCTGGGCAACATAGGGAGATCCCATCTCTACAAAAAGATTTTTTTTTTCAGACTGAGTCTCGCTCTGTCGCCAAGCTAGAGTGCAGTGATACAATCTTGGCTCACCTCAACCTCCACCTCCCAGGTTCAAGCCGTTCTCCTGCTTCAGCCTCCCAAATAACTGGACTACAGGTGCATGACACCACTCCTAGCTTATTTTTATATTTTTAGTACAGATGGGGTTTCACCATGTTGGCCAAGATGGCCTTGATCTCTTGACCTCGTGATCCGCCCGCCTCGGCCACCCAAAGTGCTGGGATTACAGGTGTGAGCCGCCATGACTGGCCTACAAAAAGATTTTTAAAAATTAGCTGACTGGGGCCGGGCAAGGTGGAGGCAGGTGGATCACCTGAGGTTGGGAGTTCAAGATGAGCCTGACCAACATGGAGAAACCCCGTCTCTACTAAAAATATGAAATTAGCCAGGTGTGGTGGCACATGCCTGTAATCCCAGCTACTCGGGAAGCTGAGGCAGGAGAATTGCTTAGACCTGGAGGTGGAGGTTGTAATGAGCTGAGTGAAACAGCATCTCCAGAAAGAAAGTAAGAGAGAAAGAGAAAAGAAAGAAATAAGCAAACAAGCTGATTGTGGTAGCACCTGCCTGTACTCCCAGCTACTTGGCAGGCTGGGGTGGGAGGATCACTTGAGCCTAGGAGGTTGAGGGTGCAGTAAGCCATGATGATGCCACTGCACTCCAGCCTGGGGGACAGAGTATGACTCTTTCTCTGCCAAAAGTTAATCAATAAATAAAGTCATCAACCAAGAAGCCATGTCGTAGTGAGCCTCTGTGGTCCTAGCTACCCAGGAAGTTGAAGTGGGAGGATTTTTGGAGTCCAGGAATTTGAGTTTGGCCTAGGCAACATAATGGGACCCCTGTCTCTAAATAAAACCCCAAATTTAAAAAGGACATCAACTCAGCTTCCAAACAGTAGTCTATAATCTTGTCTCAAATCTAGTGGTACACTTAGATGATGTAACAACATTTTTTGTTTGTTTGTTTGTTTTTGTTTTTGTTTTTTTTGAGACGGAGTTTCGCTCTTGTTACCCAGGCTGGGGTGCAATGGCGCGATCTCGGCTCACCGCAACCTCCGTCTCCTGGGTTCAGGCAATTCTCCTGCCTCAGCCTCCTGAGTAGCTGGGATTACAGGCACGTGCCACCATGCCCAGCTAATTTTTTGTATTTTTAGTAGAGACGGGGTTTCACCATGTTGACCAGGATGGTCTTGATCTCTTGACCTCGTGATCCACCCGCCTCGGCCTCCCAAAGTGCTGGGATTACAGGCTTGAGCCACCGCGCCCGGCAATGTAACAACATTTTAAATCTGACTTCTCTTCCAAGCAGAAAGCAGTTGGTGGCTAGGCATGGTGGTTCACACCTATAATCCCAGGACTTTGGGAGGCCAAGGTGGGTGGATCACCTGAGGTCAGGAGTTCAAGGCCAGCTTGGCTAACATAGCCAAACCCCGTCTCTACTAAAAACACAAAAAATTGGCCAGGCATGGTGGCAGGTTCCTGTAATCCCAGCTACTTGGGAGGCGGAGGCAGGAGAATCACTTGAATCCAGGAGGCAGAGGTTGCAATGAGCCAAGATCGTGCCATTGCACTCCAGCCTGGGCAACAAAAGTGAAATTCCGCCCCCCACAAAAAAAAAAAGAAAAGAAAGCAGTTGTTGGACAGTGGGTTGGCCATTCTTGGAACGACTTGGAGGCTTATTCTATTCTGGGTTGCTCTACATTTACTGGTCATAGCTGGTAAAATAAATTGTCTGTTAAATGAACTCTAATTATTCTTAATCATTGATGACCTTTGGATAATGTCAGAAGTCATCAGACTGGGGACGGTGACTTACACCTGTAATCCCAGCACTTTGGGAGGATGAGGCTGGCAGATCTCTTGAGGTCAGGAGTTTAAGACCAGGCTGGCCAACATGGTGAATCCCCTTCCCTACTAAAAATTAAAAAATTAGCCAGCTGTGGTGATGCGTGTCTGTAGTCCTGGCTACTTTGGAGGCTGAGGCATAAGAATCTCTTGAACCTGGGAGGCATAGCTCTAAGGCCCTTCTTATTCCTAGGCTGCGTTAATTATTATCATCTCTTACCACCACTGCCACCACGTACACAGTCTAGTTTAGTTATAGGCATATATCTGTATGGATTCAAACTCCTCTTTAGCCTATTTCTTTCTCTTTTTTTTTTCCATGTCACAAGTTTATTTACAAATGTATCTAGTATGCCATGTAAGTTAAAGTGTTTGATTCATTTATTTACTTTTAATAGAGACACGGTCTCTCTGTGTTACACAGGCTGGTCTTGAACTCCTGGGCTCAAGCTATCCTCATGCCTCAGCTTCCCAAAGTGCTGGGATTGCAGGTGAGAGCCACTGTGTCTGGGCTTATTTATTTTTTGAAGAGATTGCACCTCTTAAAACGCTCTTCCAGGCCGGATGTGGGTGGTTCACGCCTGTAATTCCAGCACTTTGGAGGCCGAGGCGGGTGGGTCACTTGAGGTCAGGAGTTTGAGATCAGCATGACCAACGTGGTGAAACCCCGTCTCTACTAAATACTGTATACAAAATTAGCTGGGCGTGGTGGTGCATGCCTGTAGTCGCAGCTACTTGGGAGGCTGAGGCAGGAGAATCACTTGAATCCAGGAGGCGGAGGTTGCAGTGAGCCATGATCACGCCGTTGCACTCCAGTCTGGGCAACAAGAGTGAAACTCCGTCTCAAAAAAGAAAAGACAACAACAACAAGCATGGGTGTGGTGGAGAAACCCCATCTCTGCTAAAAATACAAAATTAGCCAGGTGTGGTGGCACATGCCTGTAATCCCAGCTACTCTGGAGGCTGAGGCAGGAGAATAGTTTGAACTCGGAGGCAGAGGATGTGGTGAGCCGAGATCGTGCCATTGCACTCCAGCCTGGGCAACAAGAGTGAAACTCTGTCTCAAAAAATAAAAATAAAAACCAAACAACAAAAAACACTCTTCCTCTCTGTTAAGTAGGTAAACTAAAACTTCCTTATTTCTTAAGCAGTTAGTGTCTTGCTATAAAAAATAGGTGCTGCAAATCCAGATCCAAAGTACAAAGTCATCCTAGGTAGTAACTGCCACTTGTTTTCCACTGAAAATGGCAAATGCTTCCCTGGGCAGTCCAGCCAGTTTCTGCAGCTTAACAGCAGATGCCTAGAAGTTCTTCCCCACCTTCTTAAATTGGGTTGTCAATGGTTTTCAGCAGGGGACAGTTTTACTTCCCAGGAGACATTTAGCAGTGCCTGGGATCATAGAGGGAGTCCCTACTAGCATCTAGTGGGTGGAGACCTCCTGAGTTTCTGGTGAATGTCTGGAGTAGAGCCTGAATATCTGTATTTTCATTAGCCTAATGATGGTGTTGGTCCAGGGACCACAGTCTGAGGACTGTCCCTTAAGCAGATACCCAAAGCTGCAAGGTAGAGGAAAGATTATGGGGAGTTGTTAAGCATTAAGTGTGACAGAAGAATATGAAAATACCTAGCATATAGTAAGTGCTCATGTGGCATAAGAGGGGGAGCTGAATCCCTTATTAATCTCCCAGTCAGGAGTATTATTCCTTTAGTGGTGTACTGAGACCACACCAGTAGTATATATAACCCAGGAGAATCAGCCTCATCCAATATTCTGTCATTGTTTAATATTAATGGAATACTGTGGCCTTAGCCATGATTGAAGTACAATGAGTTTGGTCTGCAGTGGACTTGGAGGGGAACAGCCCTAAAGCTATAGCCTGTGTATTAGTCTGTTCTCACACAGCTAATAAGACATACTTAACGCTGGGTAATTTTCAAAGGAAAGAGGTTTAATTGACTCGCAGTTCATTGTGGCTGGGGAGGCCTCAGGAAACTTACAATCGTGGTGGAAGGGGAAGCAAACATGTCCTTCTTAACATGGCAGCAGGAAGAATGAGCAAAAGAGTGAAAAGCCCCTTATAAAACCATCAGATCTTGGCCGGGCACCGTGATTTATGCCTGTAATCCCCAGCACCTTGGGAGGCCAAGGCAGGTAGATCACAAGGTCAAGATATCCATTCTGGCCAACATGGTGAAATCCCATCTCTACTAAAAATACAAAAATTAGCTGGGCATGGTGGCGGGTGCCTATAATCCCAGCTACTCAGGAGGCTAAGGCAGGAGAATCGCTTGAACCCCGGAGGTGGAGGTTGTGAGCTGAGATCACGGCCACTGTACTCCAACCTGGCCACAGAAGGAGACTCTGTCTCAAAAAACAAACAAACAAAACCATCAACCTACTATCAGGAGAACAGCATGAAGGTAACTGCCCCGTGATTCAGTTGCCTCCTCTCAAGTCCCTCCCATTACACGTAAGGATTATGGGAACTATAATTCAAGATGAGATCTGGGTGGGGACACAGCCAAACCCTATCAGTTTGTTTGTTCCTTCACATATAGCCTGGTGGGCAATGTACTCTGTTTTCTTTTGTTGAGAACATCCCCGGAGTGATTTTGTTTCTTTTTTTTTTTTTTAGGAGCAAAACATTACCCTTTCGTTTGTACTGCCTTCTTCCACACGAGTGCCCCTTTGGCCAAAGAAGATTATTACCAGATATTAGGAGTGCCTCGAAATGCCAGCCAGAAAGATATCAAGAAAGCCTATTACCAGGTCTGTATGGAAGTCAGATTTTGGTGACCAAATTGTAGAAGGCATGTTGTTGACCCCATCTGATCCTGATTAGCATAACGTATGTGCCCCCATGGATAGATCTCATGAGCTGATAGTATAGAACGGTGTAATAAGGATGGACTTTGCTAGACTGTGTTTTTCGGTGCACAATGCCATAGAGGTTAATGCTTCAGAACAAAGAGGCAAGTCCAAACCAGAGATTTTATTGTATCGTATTTTTTTTGTCTGGTCTCTCAGTATCATAAACCATTGATTTTAAGAAGTTTTTTTTCCAGATCTGTTTTCATAATTAAATTTAATCTGTACCTTCTGAATCAGTGGGTATGGTGGTCTAAGTTTTAGATAGTCATTCTTTGCATTCGGATAAAAGTTTATAGGTTTAGAATTACTTCCATTCTTTACCTGGAAAACGTGAAATTCCCATTGTCGTATCCCAGGGTATATTAGTGTAGTTAGGGTAGCTGAGTAAAGTTGTATGTGAGATGTCTAAACCACTGGTTCCCAGACTCTTGGTTTGCTCTGGCCAATAAAATAAAATCAGCATTGGAGATACCAGTGTAGGATTGAGAGCTTTTTGTAAGGGCACACTTCACTGGAGTTGTGCAGCTGTCACTACAATCAACTTTAGAACATTTTCGTCACCTCAGAAAGAAACCCTGTACTCATTGGCACTTACCTTCCATTTTTTCTCTCCCTGGTCCTTGGCAGCTACTCACCTGCATCCTGCGCCTTTAGATTTGCCTATTGTGGCTACTCATATACAGGGAATGGTACAACATATGTCCTTTTGTGTCTGGCTTCTTTCATTCGCATCATACTTTCAGGGTTCATCTGTGTTGTAGCTTGTGTCAATACTTCATCCCTTTTCGTGGTCAGATAATATTCTGTTGCATGGATTGATCACATTTTGTTTATTCATTGTTTGATGGACATTTGGATATTTTCCACTTTTTGCTATCATGAACAGTGCTGCTATATACACATTCATATGTAAGTTTTTGTGTAGACATGTTTTTATTTCTCTTGGATATTTAGGAGTAGAGTCATATGGTAGCTGGATCTTTTTTTTTTTTTTTTTGAGACAGTCTCATTCTGTCACCAGGCTGGAGTGCAGTGGCACAACCTCAGCTCGCTACAACCTCCGTGTCCTGGGTTCAAGCGACTCTCCTTCCTGAGCCTCCTAAGTAGCTGGGACTATAGGCACATGCTACCACACCTGGCTAATTGTTGTATTTTTAGTAGAGACGGAGTTTCACCATGTTGGCCAGGATGGTCTTGATCTCTTGACCTCGTGATCCACCCGCCTTGGTCTCGCAAAGTGTTAGGAATACAGGCGTGAGCCACCACACCTGGCAGTAATTGGATCTTTATTGAGAAGCTGCCAGCCTTTTTCAAAGCAGCTACACCATTTACATTCCCACCAGCAGCGTATGAGGGCCATTATTTCACCACATTGCAGTGAACACTTGTCATTATCATCTGTCTTTTTAATTACTACCCAAGTGAATGTGAAATGGTATCTCATTACTGTTTCAATTTGCTTTTTCCCTGGTGACTCATGATGTTGAACATCTTTTCTTGGGCATGTTGGCCATTTGTATGTCTTTGGAGAAATGTGTATTTGAATCCATTGCCCAATTTTAATTGGGTTGTAACGGATTGAACAGAGGCTTGGGGACAGGAAGCAGAGATGCTGGCCTGTGACTAGCAAATGGCCTGTCTCTTCCTGAGCTCAAGAGTCAGGTGCCTGATGCAAGAGTGGGAGAAGATTGAAAAGATGGAGATTGGACCGAACACCCACGAAAATTGATGTGAGGCCCTTTGGAAGTCCTAGAGACTTAATTTAAGAGAAATTCTTAATTTAGGGAACCATTCAAGTTTTTAGGTATGGAAGTAAAAAGATCAGGTAAAGCTGTAGCAATTACTGTATTTTATGTACTTATAAAAATAATTGAAACAACAGAGACATCTATTTATTCCGTTATTTTCTTCCCTTTTTTAAAACTTTTTCTTCTTTGAGACAGTCTCTGTTGCTCAGGCTGGAGTGCAGTGGTACGATCTTGGCTCACTGCAACCTCTGTCTGCCTTCTGGGCTCAAGCAATTCTCCTGCATCAGCCACCCCAGTGATTATAACCTGTGATTATAGGTGCGCACCACCATACCTGGCTAATTTTTGTATTTTTAGTAGAGATGGGGTTTCACCATGTTGGCCAGGCTGGTCTCAAACTCCTGACCTCTGGTGATCCACCCAGCTTGGGATCCCAAAGTGCTGGGATTACAGGCATGAGCCACTGTGTCTGGTGCCCTTTTTAAAAATTTGTTTCTCTTTTTTGTTTATTTACCTGTTCTGGATGCTAAGGGCAAAGAGATACGTCAGAGTCAGTTCCTGCCCTCAAGTTAAGAGATTGAGCCATTAAAACAAATCATTATTATTATTTTTGGCAGGGACAGAGTCTCACATCATCACCTGTGCTGGAGTGCAGTGGCTCGATCTCTGCTCACTGCAATCTCCACCTCCCAGGTTCAAGTGATTCTCGTGCTTCAGCCTCCTGAGTTGCTGGGACCACAGGCTTGCGCCACCATGCTTGGTTAATTTTTTGTATTTTTGGTGGGCAGGGGTTTCACTATGTTGCCCAGGCTGGTCTGGAACTCCTAAGCTTAAGTGATCTGTCTGCCTTGGCCTCTCAAAGTGCTGGGATTTACAGGTGTGAGCCACTGCAGCCGGCAGAGAGACAACTTTTATAAAGGAAACATAATTATGATTGATATTTGGAGTTCTGTTATAATCATCTTATATATGAAGTAGTTTATCATGTTGTTCCCTTAGCTTGCCAAGAAGTATCACCCTGACACAAATAAGGATGATCCCAAAGCCAAGGAGAAGTTCTCCCAGCTGGCAGAAGCCTATGAGGTAATATGACTTATATGCATGCAGTCACTGCTGTTCAGCTACATGTATGAATCAGTTTGCATTGCTGCCTGGTATAGCCTGGTGTGTCACACAGTCCAGTGTGAAGGCCACGTCTCTGTACCAAGTCTCTTGTTAGAAAAAAAAAAAAAAAAAAAGTCTGGTCCGACGGTAGTGGGTTATAAAAACTTATTAACATTAGTGTCACTAAAGTTGGTAAACACCCCCCCCCTGCTAAATTTGACTGGCTTTAAAAAAAAAAAAAAAAGGCCACACATGGTGGCTCACACCTGTAATCCTAGCACTTCTGAAAGGCTGAGGCGAGTGGATCACGTGGTCAGGAGATGGAGACCATCCTGGCTAACATGGTGAAACCCCCATCTCTACTAAAAATACAAAAAAAACTAGCCGGGCGTGGTGGCATGCACCTGTAGTCCTGGCTATTTGGGAGGCTGAGACTGGGGAATCCCATGATCCCAGAAGGTGGAAGTTGCAGTGAGCCAAGATTGCGCCACTGCACTCTAGCGTGGTTGACAGAGCAAGATTCCATCTCAAAAACAAAACAAACAGAGCCAGGTATGGTGGCTCACACCTGCAAACCCAGCTACTTAGGAGGCCGAGGCAGGAGAATCACTTGAACCTGGGAGGCAGGGGTTGTAGTGAGCTGAGGTCGCACCACTGCACTCTAGCCTGGATGACAGAACAAGACTCCCTCTCAAAAAAAAAAAAAAAGAGAGAGAGAGATTCCAGGCCAAGAATATTGGCTCACACCTGTCATCCCAGCACTTTGGGAGGCCAAGGTGGGCAGATCACTTGAAGTCAGGAGTTTGAGACCAGCCTGGCCAACATGGTGAAACTCTGTCTCTACTAAAAATACAAAAATTAGTCAGGCATGGTGGCAGGCACCTGTAATCCCAGCTACTCAGGAGGCTGAAGCAGGACAATTGCTTAAACCTGGGAGGTAGAGGTTGCAGTGAGCCAAAGATTGCGCCATTGCACTCCCGCCTGGGCAAGAGAGCCAGACTCTATCAAAAAAAAAACAAGAAAAAGTTGATGTCTCACTGTGTCGCCTAGGCTGGAGTGTAGTGGCAAGATCACAGCTCACTGCAGCCTCAAACTCTTGGGCTCAAGCAGTCTTCCTGCCTCAATCTCAACTTCCCGAGTAGCTGGGACTGCAGGTTCCCCACTGTACCCAGCAGATGCAGTTTTTAATGAGGGGGGTGTTATTCTTGTGAATATTTTTCCATAAGGATAGGTGATTTGCTGTTTCTGCTGGGATGAGTTTTGGAGAGTTCTAATTCACCGTTTTACTAACTTTTGTCTCCAAGGGAGATTTTTTTTTTTTCCGAGATGGAGTCTCGCCCTGTTGCCCAGGCTGGAGTACAATGGTGTGATCTTGGCTAACTGCAACTTCCACCTCCCAGGTTCAAGCATTTTTCCTGCCTCAGCCTCCTGAGTAGCTAGGACTACAGGTGCATCCCACCATCCTCGGCTAATTTTTTTGTATTTTTAGCAGAGAGGGGTTTCACCATGTTGGCCAGGTTCCTGACCTCATGTGATCTACCTGTGTCAGCTTCCCAAAGCTATGATTACAGGTGTGAGCCACCGCACTGGACTGGGACAGGGGATGTTATTAAGAGGACAGAGCCTCGGAACCTAAGAGCAGCAATTCCTCTGGAAGGGCTGGAACCAGGAGATAAAAGCCACCAGGAAGTCATGGTTTCCTACTTGCCTCCCCTCTGCCAACCTTCTTCGTTTGCATCTTAACTGGGTGCCCTAAAAATTACCCTAGGCACCCAGCTGTCCTCCACCTACTTTCTCAGTCCCCCTCCATTCTAGGTGGAAGTGTCTTTTCCTTTGGAGGAAGCATACTCTTTTCTGTTTGGCCTTAAGGACAATGCCTTTTTTTTTTTTTTTTTTTGGAGACCGGATCTCACTTTGTTGCCCAGGCAATGCAACGGTGTGATTACAACTCACTGCAGCCTCATCCTAAACCTCCCATGCTCAAGCAATCCTCCCACCTCAGCCTCCCAAGTAGCTGGAACTGTAGACACCACCATACTTGGCTAATTTTTTTGTATTTTTCGTAGTGATGGGGCTTTACCACATTGCCCAGGCTGGTCCTGATCTCTGGAACTCAATCAATCCACCTGCTTTGGCCTCTCAAAGTGCTGGGATTACAGGCGTGAGCCACCATACTCAGCCTAGGGCAGTGTCTTTTTAATTCAAGAAAAAAAAGTAAGACAAACATGTGAAAAAGAAAGTGAATACTACATTTTTTCCTGCCCCTCCCTAATCCCCCTTTCTTAGGTAGTTAGTCCTTATAACAGTTTTATGAGGCTGGGCGAGGTGGCTCATGCCTGTAATCCCAGCACTTTGGGAGGCCGAGGCAGGTAGATCACCTGAGGTCAGAAGTTCAAGACCAGCCTGACCAACATGGAGAAACTCCATCTCTACTAAAAATACAAAATTAGCCAGGTGTGGTGGTGCATGCCTGTATTCCCAGCTACCTGGGAGGCTGAGGCAGGAGAATTGCTTGAACCCAAGAGGCAGAGGTTAGCTGAGATCATGCCATTGCACTCCAGCCTGGGCAATAAGAGCGAAACTCTGTCTCAAAAACAAAAAACACAGTTTTGTGGGCCAGGCCCAATGGCTCATCATGCCTGTAATCCCAGCACCTTGGGAGGTCAAAGTGGGAGGATCGCTTGAGGCTGGGAGTTTCAGAGCAGCCTGGGCAACACTGCAAGACCGTCTCTACAAAAAGTTTAAAAATTTGCCAGGCTTGGTGGTATGCTTCTTTAGACCCAGCTACTCGGGAGGCTGAGGTGGGAGGATTGCTTCAACCTGGGAGGTTCAGATTGCAGTGAGCTAGGATTGCACCACTGCTGTTATTGCTGTTACTTCTACCTGCTACTCTGGTTGTTCTGGCTTCCAGAAGACTTGTTGATGAAGGTAAGGGTAGGAAGCATAAATTCTCTACCAGGCAGTGTCTCCTGAGGAGAGAGGTGAAGTATGAATCTATGAAGAATCTGGGGTGCCTGTGAGGTCGAATGAGGATCAACACAAACATTTCCCCAGCACACACGACCCCTAGGAGAGTTCATGAGACTTTTGGAAGCACTTCACACTCCACAGTTAGCATTCAGTTTGGTCAGCTCATCCCTCTTCTGGGTGCTAGTCGCAGGCCCACCCCAACCTCATAGGATGTCTTCGCACACAGGGCCGCTTAGTAAATGTTATTTGCTATGAAGTCTTGTCCATATTCCTGGGCCTTGGTAGACCTGGATGCCCAGTGGCTCTGCCTTTCACTGTAGGTTTTGAGTGATGAGGTGAAGAGGAAGCAGTATGATGCCTACGGCTCTGCAGGCTTCGATCCTGGGGCCAGCGGCTCCCAGCAGAGCTACTGGAGGGGAGGCCCCTCTGTGGACCCTGAGGAGCTGTTCAGGAAGATCTTCGGGGAGTTCTCATCCTCTTCATTTGGAGATTTCCAGACTGTGTTTGATCAGCCTCAGGAGGTAAGTTCCTCAGTTTGAAAAATTATTCAGATTTTAGACTAAGTATGGGTCAAACAATTTTTTTTTTATCAGTTTTGGTCTCTCAGAAACGCGAAGCAGCTTAAATGGAATGATCTGGAGGCTGCCATTGTAGTAGAAGATAATTTCAGTATTTGAAAAATTGCATAGGTAATAATGAGCATATCCATGCTGATGGTATTCTTAACAGTTGCATAATCAGGTAGCACCTAAGGCTTTCTGAGTCCATTATGAGGGTGTGAGTGTTGTCTCTAAGCTGCTACGGTATTCCAGGAGAGCTCCATCTGGTGGGTAGGCACTGCTGATCCTTTCTTATCTTTATAAAACACTGTCAGAGTGGAAGAGAGAGAGGAGATATTTATGATCTAAGTTATGATTGTGGATCATTCAGGCTGTTTTTAAGTGCCATGTACAAGTATTATCTGTGAACATTTTCAGTTATTAAAAGTATGTTTTCATATAAGTAATAAATTATCTCTTACAAATCCTAAAGAGTAGGGCAGAATGGGTTCAGTGAGTCCCACCTTAAGCTTATTTGGCAGAGTGCACGTAAGCACAGTGGTGAAAGAGTGGCTGAAATGTGGCCTGGCACCCTCCTTTCCCTTTAGTGCCAAGCATCAATTTTGGTGGTTGGAAACAAAAGATGACAGGTCGTCCCTTGGTTTCTTTAGTACATCATGGAGTTGACATTCAATCAAGCTGCCAAGGGGGTCAACAAGGAGTTCACCGTGAACATCATGGACACCTGTGAGCGCTGCAACGGCAAGGGGAATGAGCCCGGCACCAAGGTGCAGCATTGCCATTACTGCGGCGGCTCCGGCATGGTAAGGGGCTGCTCAAGATCCCCCACTGCATGGCTCTCGCCACTGACTGTGAAAAGAGCTGCTTGCGTCACTGGTCCTGGAGAACTTGTGCTGGGAGTGGAAGGAGTTAGTGAACTCAGCCCACTGTCTTTTCCCCCGTGGCCCTAAGGAGATGGGCCTGTGCTCCTCCTTCCCAGGTATCACAGGCTCAGCAACTAGGGCACTGGGGGCGGGGCCAGGGATTGCATCCAGCTGTCACTTCTCTTTATTTTTCTAATAACTGCTTTTGTAATTCAAGGAGGAATAATCTTTTCTGAATGTACTGCTTAGCTCCCAGGAGTCTTCAGGTACTTCTGGATTGAGGCGGTGTCTCATTTTTCAGTGTTGTTTGGTCAAGTTGATGATCTGGAGTGCAGAAGTTGCTGTGTTGTGGAAAATCAGATGAACAGTTTGAGGCCCTGCATCTGTGTTCCTAGGCAGTGTGTTTGAGTGTACATCCACATAAAAAACAAGCCTTGGCTGGGCGCAGTGGCTGAAGCCTGTAATCCCACCACCGTGGGAGGCCCAGGCAGGTGGATCACCTCAGGTCAGGCATTCAAGACCAGATTGGCCAAATTGGCGAAACCCTGTCTCTACTAAAAATATAAAACTTAGCCGGGCACAGTGGCGGGTGCCTGTAATCCAAGCTACTAGGGAGGCTGAGGCAGGAGAATCACTTGAACCCGGGAGATGGAGGCTGCAGTGAGCCAAGATTGTGCCATTGCACTCCAGCCTGGGTGACAAAGTAAGGCCTTGTCTCAAAAAAAAAAAAAGCCTTAAAGAGACATTTTTCTTATGCACATTGTGGTCCCAGAACCATCCATCAGTTTACCTGCATACTTACCAATTTTCTGGTTTTTAATCAGGAAACCATCAACACAGGCCCTTTTGTCATGCGGTCCACGTGTAGGAGATGTGGTGGCCGTGGCTCCATCATCGTAACGCCCTGCATAGTCTGCAGGGGAACAGGACAAGCCAAGCAGAAGAAGCGAGTCATGATCCCTGTGCCTGCAGGTGGGTGCTTGGGCCCTCCATGCCCAGGGGCTTGGAGAGGGCAGAAAGGGCTGACGCTGCTGCACTGTTATGCTTGGCCCTTGGTAGAAGTTAGAGTTGAGGCCCTGGAGCCCCAGGCTGGAGCAGAAACTAGAATCTCCTTGAATGTTTCTCTTTGTGCCCGTTATGCTTAAAATCTACACTTTGCATGTCACACTGGGGAGAAGAGACTTGACGTGCCTGCTCTGCTTCTTCCTGGTGAAGGAGCAGCTGCCAAACCCTGGGCTCTTCTCCTCTCTCCCCTGTCTTAGTCACCAAAGCCAGCATTGTCCCTTCTGCCACCCTGTCTACATCACCTACACGGACCCCACCCCTCACTCCACCTCTGCTGTTCCCTTGCCTGAAACTCACTGTCTGCTTTCTTTTTCAAGTTAACTTGGTTCATTTTGGAGATCCCAGCTTGAGTATCCCTTCCCCAGCAAGCCTCACACTCTCCTCCCAGTTCTTAGATGTACCTTTCTCTGGAGTTGTGAGCATTTCCTTTGAAGAACTTGTCTCTGCTTGTAGTTACGCATTAGTGCTGTCATGTGGTTAACACCCATCACTCCAACGAGACCATAAACCCTGAGGTACTACATAGACCACGCCTGAGGCAGGTGCTCAGTCATCAGGTGTCGCATTTGCATCTCTGGAAAGTTACCCGTGTGCCATCTTAGAGAATTGCACTGTTCCTTGTTAATAAGAAACAGGAGTGGGGAAGAAGCCATGGGTTACAAGGGGATCTTGGGTGGAAAGTGCTGTGGAAGGTCTCACAGTAACTGCTCCCTTTTGAACATTCCTTCTAGGAGTTGAGGATGGCCAGACCGTGAGAATGCCTGTGGGAAAAAGGGAAATTTTCGTCACGTTCAGGGTAGGTGCTCTGCCCTGTGCAGCTTCTGTTGGGCCCTTCCTATCTTCGGGTGGGTGTGGCTGAGGCTGCTCCTGCAAGGTCACAGCTTCATGGGAACATGTCTCGCCATTGATGTCTCTGAGCAGCACAATGGCCACCTAGATGTGGTTTTTAGCTATCCGCTGCTTTCAAGGTTCTGTGCCTTGTGCAGTGAGAAGACAACTTCTTCAAGATGTTTACAAGTTAGAAATACAGGTCACATAAAAATACAGAAAACTTCCTGTGTTTTTATGATAAGATTGTTGATGAGGCATTGAGTGTGAAAGGTACAATTTTGCATACCGTACACAGAGGCAAACTTTGGTTTTCGGCAATGTGGAAACATTAATGAAGACAGTGCCTTCTACTGGCAATTGCCCTCCTCTGTGTACACCTGAGAAAAACCCATGCAAGCCTAGCAGGCAACAGGTACAAAAGTATGCATGAGAGTCCTGTCCATGGTAGCAAGATACTGCCTTCCTCCAACAAGGGAATGGCTCAGTGAGCTGTCGTGGTCAACGGCTGCTGCAGGGCAGTTGGAGGGAAAGAATCAGAGCTGCAAGTTGCTCCAGGCCTCACAGGTATAGACAGCAGGGATGGAAGGCAGCTTTTCAGAGGCTGCAGGGCCTCAGAGATCATCTATGTAAAGTTTTCTAGCATGCGGGATGGCATTATGTATTATTTAGGGACACAGAAATGCATAGTAAAAGAAGCTCGGAGGAATGATAAATGCTAAATTCAGGGTCGTGGTTAGCTGAGGAGGGCAAGACTCACCTGTGTTTATGATTTATTTTATTTTATTTTATTTGTTTGTTTGTTTTTATTTTCTTTGGGATGGAGTCTTGCTCTGTCACCCAGGGTGGAATGCAGTGGTGCAATCTTGGCTCACTGCAACCTCCAACTCCTGGGTTCAAGCAATTCTCCTGCCTCAGCCTCCCAAGTAGCTGGGACTACAGGCATGTGCCACCACGCCCGGCTAAATTTTTGTATTTTTAGTAGAAACGGGGTTTCACCGTGTTAGCCAGGATGGTGTCGATCTCCTGACCTCGAGATCTGCCCACCTCAGCCTCCCAAAGTTCTGGGATTACAGGCTTGTGCCAAGTGCCCGACCCCTGTTTTATTTTATTTTACTTTATTTTTTTGAGGTGGGGTCTTGCTCTGTTGCCTAGGATGGAACACAGTGGGATGATTTTGGCTCGCTGCAGCTTCAGACTCCCTGGGCTCAGGTGATACTTCCACTTCAACCTCCTGAGTAGCTAGGACTATAGGCATGCACCACCAGGCCCGGCTGACTTTTGTATTTTTTGTAGAGGTGGGGTTTCACCATGTTGCTCGGGCTGGTCTGCAATGCCTGGGCTCAAATTACCCACTTACCTTGGCCTCCCAAGGTGCTAGGATTGCAAGTGTGAGCCACTGCTCTCAGCCTGTGATGTTTTATTACTTCCACTGGGTTGTGGGTACAACATTCTTATTTATTCTGCCTTTTTGTGTGTGTTGGGGGGAGACAGAGTCTTGCTCTATTGCCCAGGCTAGAGTGCAGTGGCATGATCTCAGCTCACTGCAACCTCCGCCTCCTAGATTCAAACGATTCTCATGTCTCAGCCTCCTGAGTAGCTGGGATACAGGCATGTGCCACCATGCCCAGCTAATTTTTGTATTTTTAGTAGAGATGGGGTTTCACCATGTTGTCAGGCTGGTCTTGAATTCCTGACCTCAGGTAATCTACTCACCTTGGCTTCCCAAAGTGTTGGGATTACAAGTTTGAGCCACCATGCCCAGCCTATACTTTCTAATAAAGTAAGATTGAAAAAAAAAAAAAAAAAAAACTTGAAAAGCCAGTTTTATGTTTTTTCTCTTCCTGTTTATTTCCCTTCCTGATTGAATGGCTGGATCTGAGACTGAGGAAATCCAGGCATGCTTCCTTTGCAGTGTTCAGTGCGTAGAACATAGGCACTCTCCATTGCAGTGTTGAAACATGTAGACATGTCATTCCTGGGCCTGCAGTGGTGTTGCCTTGGTGGAAGGACAGTTCTTTCCCTCAACACTGTGCTTTATGTATGGAAGGGGTATGAAGTTTGTCAGGTCTGAGCTTGGGCCTGACAAGGCACACAGTTAGTATTTATTCTGCAATGGACTTCTCTGGTGGGTCACACGCATCTGTCATGTTTGACCTTAGGTACAGAAAAGCCCTGTGTTCCGGAGGGACGGCGCAGACATCCACTCCGACCTTTTTATTTCTATAGCTCAAGCTCTTCTTGGGGGGACAGCCAGAGCCCAGGGCCTGTACGAGACGATCAACGTGATGGTAAGAGGGTGTGAGAACACCTTTGTCATCCCTGTACTTTATTGCTCTTTTTCTCAAATGGAAAAGAACTGACTAGTGGCCTGGAGACCATGAGTGACCAGCATGCCGGGGGGCACTAACAGCGGCGGACATGAGGAATTTTAGGCTGATCCTTGGGTGTGGACCATAAGCCACAGGCCTTGACTCTATAATCACTTGGGAAGCAGTTCCTGGCTGGCATTGCTCCCACACTGGTTAACGGGGCCTGGGAACCGGGCGCACCCAGGACACAGAGATGTTCACCCTGGGATGTGCTGTCTGCACTTGCTTCTGTCCAGTGTCTACCTCCAAGAGCAGATGCCTCTTGGGCTGTGCAAATCCCTTTGGCCACAGTGGATGGCTGCCTGTGTGCTGTCTGCACCTGTCCCCTACCTCTCCCTCGACCTGCCCCTCCAGCTCCTCCAGGTCACATCATTCTCTGTATTTGCCTCAGAACCTTCTCCAGCCTCTTTGTGGGGAACCTTGGGGTAACTTCCACCAAGGAGGTAGGCATCTTGGGCCACGGCTTTCTCCTCCATATGGGGGCTGTTCCCTGGCTTCTCCATGGTCCTGTGAGTCCAAGGGCCAAGGAGTGATCTCAGCCACACACCCTGTATTGGCTTTTTCTGCTCCCCAGTTTTCCTGCTTTGTTCCCTCCTGCTTCCAGAGCTCACTTCCTCAGAACTCCAGTCCCCTCTGTGGGCAGACCCCAGCCTAGCTCATTTCCGTGTGGCTGTGGTCAGGCTTGGCCCAGAAACCCAAATAACAATTCTTTTTTTTTTTTTTTTTTTTTTTTGAGACTGAGTCTCACTCTTTCACCCAGGCTACAGTGCAGTGGACCTCTGCCTCCTGGGTTCAAGCGATCCTCCTCTCTCACCCTTCTGAGTAGCTGGGATTACAGGCACACACTGCCATGCCTGGCTAATTTTTATATTTTTATTAGAGATAAAGTTTCACCATGTTGGCCAGGCTGGTCTCAAATTCTTGACCTTGTGATCTGCCTGCCTCAGCCTCTCAAAGTGCCAGGATTACAGGTGTGAACTACCATGCCCAGCTGTGGCAGTTCTTTTCAAGGAATTTCTTTTTTTTTTTTTTTTTTTTTTTTTTTTTTTT